CTTTCCATTATTTTCTGGCACCCAGCTGAATTTACAGTAAAAATATTTTCATGATAACTTCCTCTAATGGCAAACACAAGAGCTGGTAGGACACCATGGGAGTTGTGTCTGTTTTTAACGAATAAAAAAAGATTATATATCTGTCCTCTAGCAAAGAGATTAGACAGAAATCTCTAGAGATTAAATCATGGAGATATCCTCACTTTCTCTTCTTACCAGGAGATAACAGAGCTCCATGTTTAGTTAGCAAGCTTCATCTTTAGCCAATATGAGCATTTGAACCTCAACTTCTGAATATTTTAGCCTGATCTATAAGAACTGGAGGAAAAAAAAAAAAAGAATAATGAGTGAGCAATTCAAGGTAAAACAACCTTGCTGACTTGTTTTTGTTTCTTTCAATCATTAAATGAAGCTGAACTGTTTAATGGTTCATGTTGCAATGCTTTGTAAATGGATTTGAATTAGGCAAAATCCAAGGTGTTTTCAAATTTAATTTCATGATAAAAAGTGATGCTTTCAACATCCACCATGATCCACTAAAAACAAGGCAGAAAGGCAGAGGAGTGGTCCTACATGAGGGCTTTGAAGGTTTAGCCTAGGGATTTGAGAATCAACCAGAATTCATTCCTTCTCACCATTTTACACATTTTTCCAAAGCAAATGCTAGCCTGAGTGGAACTTCATTTTCCTTCTGTCAGTCTCCCAGATAACTCCTTTCCTTCTCTCCTCCTTTCAGAGTCCTTGTATCATCTCATCTGAACTGCTTTAAAACTAATGCCTTCAAAAACTGCTTCCATCATTCTTCATATTTCATCTTTTGTTCTGTATGTCAGTCCATTTCTCATATGGCGCAACAACACTATAAACTTAAGTTCAAAAACAGAGCTTCTTATCTTTTAAGCTTTTCTTTTATCTCCTTCTTTCTCTGACCACACACATCTGAGGATCTCAAATTACATTAACATGTTTTAACCATAAGATGAACACTTTAAAATTGATTAATTAATTACTAGCAATGTAGATTAAAATTGCTATCAACTAGAATCTGAGTGCTAGTGTCTTGCTCCCAAGCAAGATTACCAGTTAAAATATCACATATCTACTGGAAAGAATATACCAGAGGTATGCATCTGGATATGTTGAAACATATATTTCCTGGTCTATAGAGAGTGTTTTGAGACTTTCAATAAAAAAAATTTAAACAAAAGCCAAAAAAAGTGGATATTGCAAAGCCATCATTTTCTGATATAAGAAAAATCAGTAAGTCAGTCTTAGCCAGTCCCACTATCATCTGAGATCTTTTTTGAACAAAGAAGCATGATGATTTATTCTGTGTCGTAGAAAGTTAAAGGCAAAAAAAAACTAGATTTTTTTTTGACAATTTTCCAGATTTTGGTGAAATTTTGCTTTCTGGCAAAAGTAAGAGTATTTAAAATTCGTTCTGTCTGTCCTCCTCCTTGGTCCTTCCTCCATCATTTGCAAAAGGCAAGACAGTCAGCATTTAAGTGAAGATAAAATCTCAGCTAAGGAAAAATCACACTGTTAAAAAAAATTGTGGAATTATGGTAATACTGTCTCTTCCTCCTGTTTTTTATTTACAGATTTGGAGGCAGAGCAAGAATGGCAGTTTCTTTAATGTTTAGACTTTTGCTGAAAACTGTATGTGTGAAGAAAACACTGGCTCTTTATCGACCAGGAGGTAGAACTATATATGGTTTTCTTTGCAAGATGAAAAGCAAGGTCGTCAGTAACTCCAGCCAGGCAGCTATAAAGAGTAGACAAATAATATTGGATGCAGGATGTGAAGAGTAGTGTTTGTTGACAGTCATGCATTTGTCCTGAGATGCTCTCACAAAAAGGCCAGGATGCTGGAGTGTATGTGCGAACATTTCAAATAACAGAGGAATGACAGCAAAGACATGAAAAAAAAACAAGGAGGAGTTCACTAATGAGTCTTGAAGTCTTTGGCACACGGAGGGAGATGGATCTGTCTTAGATGTTTAAATCATTACGATAGTATGACAATTGTCTCTCTTTTCAGCTCTTAAAATACAGTGCAGTTCAAGCACATACCAGCTGTTGGAGCAGATTGGAAAGTATGTGCTAGTATGCCGTGGGAATTTACAAGTCAAGGTGTGTATGCAACATTTATACTCAGCTTTCCAGAGAGGAGAGTGTGAAAGTACTCTGGAGTCCCTGAATTTTAACCCATGCAGTCCTCTATGTCTCAGAGTCCTTGGGTTAGACTATTTCCTGTCCCTGAAGAAAGCAGGCTCAAGTTTTAAAGCAGAACCAACTCCATGGGCTTGTCCATGGGACAACCCTGATAATTCAGAGATGAAGGACTTAGCCAAACTTGGAAGTACTGCATGACACATCACTTTGTCATAACTGCTTGAAATCAAAAAAGGTCATTCAGAGACATCATAAATAATCATAAGAGTTCCACAAGAGGACTAGCATACTTCTGCACCCAGTTTTGGATGGGACTTCAAAGAATTGTTTTAATCAGTAGTGCTGTCACTCTCTATTAAGTTTTATGCCTCAATTATTTTCTTGTGTGTAAAATGGTTGACAGGCACATCAGTCTCCTTTTGGGACTTGCTTTGAGTGGTAATAAGAAGATTATTACACAAATAACAGGTAGTTTTATAACCCCATGACTCATTTTCTTCCTTAGGGGAAAGGAGACATGGTAACATACTGGCTTGAAGGTAAGAAAGTCTCTGCCACCTGGGAGGCAGTCACCAGCACTTCTGTGACTCTTCAAGACCCCAACAGAGCTTCGTTTAGTTTGATACCAGGTGTCCTTCCCAATGATCATGTCTCAAGTCCTGCTTACTAGCCACTCACTAATTCCAACATCCATCCTGCTTTCAGTCTGTTAGGTCACCCTGTGGAATTAGAAAGTAAGAAAAGACATAGTGTGCCCCTTTGGCTTTGTGGATGTATTAGCTCAGACTTTATTCACAGGTATCTTTCTCCCACCAGTGGCAGGAAAACATACAAAAAAGCAAAAACTGATCTTGAGGAATGATACACAAGATTGGCCCACCAACGACTAGGGCAGAAGGTAGCTCCCAGTGTTACTTGTTGATTTGTTTTTGCTGGGTAATACCCTGCCAGCAGCCTCCATCATTTCAAAACCAGCTGGCTGGACATTCAAGTCTGTAGGCCTCTCCAACAGAAAAGAAGGAAACAGTGTAGTGTTGCTATTTAGTGGTATGATAAACTTTGTGGGTATGATTGGTTTTGTGCTGTGAAAGGGAAGAATGAGATGTGTATTGTTTTAGAAAGCAAGGCTTGCTGAAAGAGGAGAGTGAAGCAGTGCGATCATAGTGGATATAAATTGAAATGAAAATTTGTGCTCTGCTTCTGTTTCATCTCCATTACCTGGAGCAGAGAAAGAAGACCTAAGAAGAAAGTCTGGGGTGTTTCCATAGAGTTAACACTTAGTGATACCTGCCATCTTGGTACAGAGGTCTGAAAATCTTGGGAGAGAAATGAAAGACGTTGCATGGTTGTTGAACAAAAGATAGACCATTACAGCTGCTCTTGTCTTTGCTCTGGGATTTCTCTGAAAAACTGCTCTTAACATTAGCTTATATTATGGAGTTGCTTTGACTAAAGTGGCGGTGAACCTACTATTGCTGGCTAGCTCTCTGACTGTGAAATCAGGCAGCCCTCTGAGTCACTCTGTAATTTAGGACACAGTTTAGAAAAGGTCATTCCTGAGCAAACATTTCCTGTAAAAAGAGACCCGTGACTACAAGTAGAGTAGTCTGTTGATGAGCCAGTGGAGTAATCTGTTGATGAGCATGGTTCTGTAAGCATTGCTGGTGTTGACTTTCTTTAAAGACAAAGCATATGTACAGTGGACCCTGTTTATAAATGTTAGGGCTTTATTTATGGCAATAAATTACCTTTCAGGTCTAATCTATTTTGAAGAGTTTAGCCAGTTCCAGTTGCACTGATTAACAAACAGTCTAACAGAATTAGATACACAAAAGAGAGGAAGGAAGGATACTGACTCACAGCAGTTCCACCATAATGTGAACTGGATTGACCAAAGCTAACTGGGAGGAGGTGAAAAAGAAGGACTATGAATGACATAGTACCATTTACTCCTCCTTATTCTGCTCCCTTACCCTCCAGTCTGTCCCCGATCCGAGGTAGAAGTACAAAAACATATATGTAGATGCAGTTTTTCTGGTATAAGTTTGTATAGCTTAAACAAGCAGCTGACTAGTTGTCCATGCTCCCAGGTAGCTAACACACTTTTAATGCTGAATATGTGCTGTGTGATAGTAATAGGAGAGTCACACTACAGTCCTTCTTCAGCTTCTGTGGGAAATAAATGCAGTGGTAATGTTAGATTTTTTGGAGATGCCTAATAGAGGTAGAAAGCTAAATCATTCTGAATTATGGAAGACTTCTTTGAAATCCACAGAAAAATACAGAACATTCTGAGTGAAATTCTGTCACAGAAGTCTGTGGGAATACTGCCACTTGAATGGGACCAGAATCTCAGCAAGGGACATGTATGTAGCTGATCTTGTCACATGAGATCCCAACATAGACTGCAGCCAAATTTTTATAAATTAAAAATTTTAACTGGTTTCACATTTTTTTCTGAACTTAAAAGATTTCTTTCTCTATTTTTGAATTTCATATTAGTACATGGTACAGTACAGTTACCTTATTTGTAACCTTACCAAAATAAACCTTTCGGTTATCCAGAGCCCAGAGATGCCCTTTAATACAGCCCTTTCCTTTACCCAAATGCTACCTAGATATTGTGAAACTTTTGCTCTAATATAGTGCTGCATGATATATAATATAGTTTACATTGTTCTTTTAATGGGTTAGCATTTTTTACATTTTTATTAGAAAGGTGCATATCATAGGGTCTTTTATCAAATGTGAATGTGAAAACATGTGCTTTGTTGTATGTTCATCTGCAGCAGTACTTCAATTTTAACCCTTCTGCTTTATTTTAGTGTTGTTCTTTGCATTAAAAGCTTTAAAATGAATGTCTTCTGAGTTTAAAGTCTTCTAAATAGAAATGTGATGAATGATCATTAGCAAACTTGTTGGATTGACAGCCTTCACCACTTACATGTCCTTAGGAAGCATTCAAATTCTCCTGAAGATAGTAGAGAGACTCTTGCTGACTTCAAGAGGCTTAGAGTCTAGTGATTATCTACAAAAGAGGTATAGCTTCAAGACAGTTGTATCAGCCTAACCTCTCTGTTTTGTTGTTACCTTTTGATTCTCTCTTCAAACAGAGCATCTCCAGAATAAGAACTAGATTATTTTCTAAAGGCTGTTGAATTGGTGGTATCTCTCCTGAGACATCAAGCAGTAGTCGTCATTAATGTCAGTTTGTCTGATGACTGTGATGATATGACTGTTCTTCCACCAGAAGATAGGAGTACAGGGTAGTGAACATTATAGATGCAAATGGAATTTTCCTTAGTCAACTGGCAAGTATTTAAGATTTCTGTCAGGCATTTTGACAGATGTAGTCAATGGCTACAGATATATTTCATTGTCAACTACTGAAGCAACAGGCAAGTTACAGGAACATGATCTCTATTTGGTTACACAGATTTTTACTAGAAGTTGGATACAATGCAGCACTCATTAGAGATTATATGACACAGAGAATTCAGCAAATGTGATTGCAGCATAAAGCCTGTGAGATGTGTTTTGCTTTCACCTCCTGGGGATGGCATAGCTGCAGAAATAATTTTTTTCTGTATTGTTATGGCCACACAGTATATGCATGTATAACAGTATGTCTATAGAATATATACAATATAGAGAGAATTATATGTTCTCATATACGTAAAACATGTCTGGCTATAAATACAACTGTATAGGGAGAGTTTCATGCAAATCAATACCCAGTATAAGGACACAGAATTGTTGACAATTGTTGCCTTAGGTGTGCACTCTGCAAAGATCAGTTTTTGAACACACCAAGGGAAAACAGAGTGGTGCTCTGTACAGAACTTCATAAACAAGGGCAGGTGGTTTTTACAGCACCTGCAAACCAAAATGCTGTCCCTCTTCACCGCTCTAAATCTACATCCTTATCTGGGGAGGCACTTGTGACTGATGTTTCTGCAAATTCAGATCCCCAGAGTCCTGTTATAGCTCCTGGTGTCTCTCACTGCCCAGGACATGTAACAAGGAAGCTTGTGGTGGCTAACACAGTAGCTGCCGGCTGAAGTCCTGATGACCTTGGCAATGCAGGAAAGCATTTACCAGCTGGTAAAGCTGAAATATGATAACGAGCACAGTGCTCATCTGTGAGATGTTTTAAATCTGCAGAGATTCACATCCCAGATGTGGAGCTGGTCAGCTAATCTAGCAAGTATTCTTTTCTAAAACGGCACTCTACACAGGTAAATATGTGATGTGCTCCTCCTTTCCTAAGATATTATATCCCTACCAGAAAATGGGAAAGCAATTGTAATAATAGAACTGAAGAACTGAAGGTGGTATGTGCTTTATAGATCACTTCAGTTCTTCACTCAGTGGCCATACAGTCATATAAAATAATGCAGAGAGTACTAATGTGGTGATTTAATGGAAAGATTGTGCATTTTGATCACTGTTTATTGCAGCTCCATCTACATACAGGTGAGGATGCAGGCAGGTACATTAAATAAATCACACAACACAAAAACTGACTTATGAAAGTCTTTAATTAGACCGATAAACCTTCACTATATTGTTTCAGTTTGAATGTTGAGGAATAGATTGAATAACCACAATATTAAAAAAAATCCCAACAAGTAAAAAAAATTGTTGATGTATTTCCAGGTGTAAAACTTCCTAGATTTTATTCAAACCATTGACATTGGAAAAAGACTGTGTTTTGCCACCAAAAACTTAGTCTTTATCCCCTAGATTAGGTAGCAAACATCTTTTATTGAGCTTGTTATCGATATGTGCAGAGGGTCTTCAGTTCCATGTTTCTTTTTGTGTAAACAGAAAAGTTATCTGCTTCTCCTACAGCTAATTAGTCAAACCAGAAAAATTAATTCATTTAAAGAAAAGTTGAATGAAATTAGGTGATCTTTGCAAACACTGCAAGGATATAGTATGAGTGTTAAGCCTGACTGTGCAGTCAGAGGATGCAGGGTCTCTTGAAGATCTATGTCTGAAGAACAGATTGGTATGAGGTTCCCCAGCACGTAGAACATCTCTCTCTCCTACTCCACTCAGATCCCCAAAAGTTATTAATAGCCCTTCCATCTGAATTGACCTCAATAGTAAGAGTCTTTGGTTTTTTAAGAGTGTCTTTCTGAGGTTGTCCCTTCAGACCAGGAAAAAGACAAGGCTATGGAAGATTACTCTGATTATTCTCCAGCTGGCTACCATCTGCTTTTCAGCTAATGAATACTCTGTCCTCCTAATTCCTGTCTGAATTTTCTCCTGCTTCACACCAGTCAGTGTAAAACATTGTATTGTATGTTATTACTTTCTAAATTGCAATTCAAAGATAAAATAATTTGCAGTCATATATTCTCTCCAAAGAAAATAGGGGAAAATTCCTTTTCCTCCTAATTTAAAATATTCTTAAATGCACTTTCTGATGTACAGATACAAAACAACCAGTCTGAAATGTGAGAGAGTGGGTTTTGTAGAATTTGTTTGTGTGGGAACCTAAGACTGATACCTGCCATTAAGTATGCATGAGTCTACATGATGTTATTTAGCATCCCATAGTATACTAACCACTGGTTCAGACAGGCAACCCAGCTGCCCATCTTCTATACTTGTACCTCACCTTTCCACTACACTAGGTCTTCAGATCATATGCGTCCCTTT